GCAAAGGAATATATATATATATAGAGAGAGAGAGAGAGAGACAGATGTGGCATGAATATTTCAACCTCTCTAAGTGTCTCTCGCCACGACTGCAAAAGCTGTTTCAAGTTTAACAAGGCGTCTCTAGTTCCTTCGAATCCTTCGCGCCTCCATTGTTCACGGTCGATAACACCGTTTTTTTAACTCGCATATGAGCACTCTTTGAATGTATTCATACTCTCATCGTGACAAAAATAGAAGAAAGAGAAAAATTTCACGCGCAAAGATCACATCGATTCATTAAGGGGATGATGGAAAAAAGTATATAGAAGATGTGAACAATAATCCTACTTTCTTTACATAAACAAATAAATATGCAGGAGATTTCTAAACTTAGAAATACTAGAAATTAAAGAGGATTATTTAACAAAAATTTTTTCCCTGGAAATCGAATAGAATTCTTCCTATTTCTCTAAAATATCCTATTTAAGAGGAATATTTAAGAAAGATTTTTCCACCAAGACCATATTTGTCCTATGAGACAAAGATCAAGGATACCACATATATATAATTCCAATATAATTCTACGAATCATCATCCTTTAAGAACCCCGAAATTTCGTTATCTTTCCACCGTTACATCCACTCCCAAGCCAAACTTACGGCTTATTAGAAGTTCCACTATCTGCCAACTTACGAGATCTCGCTTCACGCTTCTGGGGCTGAACACCATTATCCGCCTGTGCTTCTTGATAAGTTTGCTGAGCCTCTGCGTTCTTTGGGCGCAGGTCAAAGGTTTCTCGGACACGTGAAAGTCGTCCTGCATCTCGGCATCCTCCGGCTCGCATCTCTCGACCGGCGGGCTGTGCCTCGGCGTCACGGTGCTCAGCGGCACCACCCTCGCGATCAAACTCTCGCTTCTCACGCTCCACGTGGACGCCCCGTATCTCTTCATGTTCATCAGATCCCCTATGCTGCCCCTCACGTACAGATTCCCCGATTGGAGGTTGGTTCTCGAGAGGGCCGGCGAGTGTGGAAGAGACTCGGAGCATTTCTCCCCCGACCCGACCACATCCGGTTTGTTTTGCAGCTTGTCCAGCTCCGACAACGAGGATCCACGACGGATTCTCGGCTTCAACAATTCGTTCTTCTTCGCCACCCGCTCCTTCTCCCGGTTCACGCTCCTCGAGGACAAGGAGGACTTCATCGCGAACAGGCCCGCCTTCAGTGGGAACAGGAGAGCCCACTCGGTTGACTTTTCTCGAGACTCCATCTTCTCGATTTCGATTTCTTCTTTCTTTCGATATACACGAAAAAGTATCAACTTGATCTATCAAAAATCTGTTAAACGAGTCTCCTCTCTCTCTTTCTCTCTCCTCTTGGTGTAAAAAAAGTTTCAACTATCGACTATAATCGATGTATATGTATATATATGTGTATATAAAAATACGTAAAAATGTACGTATAACAAGAATACAGACGTATCAAACGTGTAATAATAATAATAGGAAGAAAGAGCACTGAGGATCGGATGGCACGCGATGTTCACCGATCATTTTCAGCAACTGCTCCAACTAATGATTGGCCGGTAGGATATCATTAGCCAGGCGATATACCGGCATCCGGGCTCGCCGTTGAACCCCTTCCGGTCGCCCCGTTATCAAGCTTCCAAGGAAGTTGGAATTTGTAGGACGCGCTCCGCATTCCGTGCCACGATCGCTCGATAATTTTCCAACGGAGTGCACGGCTCCTTCGAGCGTTCGTCGACGAGCAACACAATTTCACCAAATCACATACACCAAATCACGAATATCGTAGAAGAACTTTGTCCAACCAACTGTGTCGTTGCAACTGCGTCGAACCGGGAGACGATTTTCAACAAGTTTTAGAAAAACGGCGATGGAAAAATCGTGGAAGGGAAGAGCATCTTGTTCGTAAGAGCAGCGCGATCAGACTCTCCGACAGATCGTGCAGGGAATTAAGGCGAAGGGGGTGGTCAGCCCCTGACGGACCTCTTGGCGATATTTTCACTTAAGTTAACACGACCCCCCGTGCGGATGTCCCCTTTGCCATCGCCGATACTTCCTTTCTAATAAAAGCCTAATAACGATCGATAACTCGCCGACTCCAGCTCCTTTCCTCCACGTCGCGTCGATTCTCTCTTTCTCTCTCTGGATTCTCTCTCACCGTTCTTCTTCTAAAGGGATAAGAAAAATCCTCTCCAGTTCCTTCCAGTTGGACGATTCATGCCTGATCATCGTACCGTCAACTAACACGATACTGGGGAAAAAGGATACGAGTGTTGGTTGATGACGAGTGGCCACGAGTGATAACGATACACGGTGGGAGAGGAGACCTTGAGGACGAAGGTGATATCGTTAATTTTTACGCATACGGGCTTCCGATTGCGGTTAGGCCGACTGGCCTACATAGATTGCGAGGTTGGGAAAAGAACGAGTTTTTAGGGGGAGGAGGGAACGTGCTGTGCCTTCCAATGTTTATTTTTGCATAGTTTTGATTTTAGAAATTTTTTTTTCAGATCCGCTTCCCTGATTCTCGAGGAAGAAAGATCAATTGAAAGAATTGTTAGATTGCAAGTTAATTGGAAGCAATATCTTCATTAATATAACGGTAATAATTTAGAAAATGAAAATGAAAATGCTCAACTTATTGATACTTTATTGTGTCGTGTAAAAAATTTTTTCAACCATCGATTTTCAATTATTCAAATGGAAAAGTGTCAAGCACTATCGATGATGAAAGCCAAACTTATTATCGTATCACTACTGTATGCATAAGTCAAATTCGTGAAAATGGAAATGATCGAGTGTAAAAAGGTATTTGCATTACACGCAGAAAGCGTTTCAACGATTCTGGCAAAGATAATGGTCGCTGACGTAAGCTCTTGGAAATCGCTCGAATCAACGCTCAACAAGAAACTCTGTTCAAGTTAAAGCTTTCGGGATAAATGGCATCCTAGTTTCTTTCTTAAAGAAGAAATAAAGAGAGAAGACAAGGAGGCCATGCGTCATCTTCCATGCGAAAATCCGGAAAATTCCGGCTCGAGGAATCTCTTAACTCGATGCAAACGACGAGACTTTAAAGAATATCTGGTTGAAATTATTATTTGGAGAAAAAGTGACACGACATGAATTACGAAACGTAGGAAATTGTTAAATCGAATCATTATCGCGGTTAAGTTTATCGAGTTTAATTTTTCCGGGACGAAATCTTAATGAAATGATTATATGCTGGTATATTTATTTTTTAATTAAACTCTTCGAAATTATTCTGAAAACAGAGTATTTCCTTTCTCTCGATTGAAACATCATTCAAAATTCAAAGTTTAATGAACACCAACGATTAATTATTCAATCCAACGATTTTCTTTAATAGAAAAGAAATATTTATCTCTCGTCCCCTCTTCAAAAAAGAATCACAACAATCAGAAAATCAAATTCATCGAGTCTCGCACAAGCTCGGATCCAAAGATAACACGATGAGAGAATCCTACGGAATTTAAATTACGTTCACAGCTGCAATTTGATCATAGGCAATTCCTGGTGAAAATGTCTGAAACGAGTTGAAGGAGGAAACGTTCCCCAACTTCGATTCAACGCGTGATTCAGGACGAATTTACATTTTCCATCGTGGAGGCCAGTTACTCCCCGTATATATCGGACTGGAAAGATTTCCAGGAGCGCGTCAGGTGCGTACTTACTTAGTGACACGATTGGGCGACAAGGCTGCGTTAATGGAAGTTTCGTGTTAGAGTTGGTTAATCCTCCGCTTCCAAAGAGCGACGGATATTTTCAAGGTGACAAGGAGGCCGATAAAACGCACCCTAACACTCCTGCAGAACAACTCCTTTCCACGCAACGGGATTTGATTTGAACAAACACTTGTTTCTTTCTTTTCATTTTCTTCTCACCTTTCTCTTCGCTCCCTTTTTGTTCTTTCTCTTTTCTTCTTTACAGAGACTCGTTAAATAATCGTATCGAATTCCCTATTGGAAATTTTTTCTCCTGTTCAGGAGGATGATTACGCTCCTTTGTGCACCCTCTATGTGCGCGAGTATTCGCGTCGACTTAATCTCGTATTTCTTCCCGAATGTTCTCGATAAAACGTTAATGAACGTTCATTGTTCGTTTACAACTGACACAGATAACTATTTCCACCGTGATATCACGTGTTATTCGTGATTTATGCGTACTTTCTAGGACGTGCGTAATTTTCTGCGATTATCTGTATTCGCGGATGACTCTTCTTTTTATTTTTTTTTTTTTGTCTACACGAGTTTGGCACAATGAATATATTCGAGATTTAAATTTATCGATTGATTATTCGATTATTAGTTTTGTATAAATGGTTTTTAATTCGTTAAAAATTACCGATTTAATTAAACAACATTGTCTCTTTTCTAAGTAATTAGATTTTTTTAAAATTGCTTGCATATTTCAATTTCGAAAAATGTGTATCAAAAATTGATCGATCTCATTTGTGAAATCGCGTAGTCGATTCAAGTTCGTTTATACAACTACTACGATCTATCGACAAGTTATATCGACAAGGATCAACGGACTCGTGGCAACCTTCCAATCGACAACGACGTGGGACACGACGTGAGTAACACAGGTGATAAAGTCTCGGAACTCGTGGATGGAATCTCGAGAGGGACGATAATACGTGACAAATTAATTGAATCGTGAAAATAATGATCGACAAGGCCGTGGTTGTAACAACGAAGGTCTAGTGGAAAAATGCGGGTGGTCGCCAGCATGATTTTACGGAAGGTCGCCATTAAGGAGTCGTTGACTAGCGCCTCGATGAAATGAAAAGTCATTTTTCATTTCGTTTCCTCTCTGTTTATTTCTGTGGCAACTTTATTGTTTCAAATATAACGGTTTATCGAACCGTTCAATCGTTCGTATTTTCTTTTCTTTTGTTTTTAAATATCGTTCAAACTTTAAAATTGCCCTTAAAGTACTTATTATTCTAAAGGAAAATACGATTATTACTCACCCGTAGTTGCATCACTATTTGGTTGTACGCCCAATGCCATCGTTGCTTCGCCGTCATCTCTGGTCTCTCTTTCAACTGTGTAGGCACTGGTGCAGCTCCAACCATCTCTAGAAGCTCCTTATCCGGTGGTGGTTCCGGTGGACTCCTCGGTGGAGTATCCATTTGAACACTTTCTTCCAAAGACGCTTGTTTCGTTATGCTTCCTGCAAGTTGGCAAGATTAAAAAATATTAACGTGCACAACATTAATCTCGCGAAGAAGATGTAACGTATCCATGCACATTGGATAAAAAAAGAAGAATAAAAAGATAATCTTACCACGTGGACTATCGGTATGCGACATGGGCGATGTAGCTTTGTACGTGTCCATCAACGAATCCTCTCGAGAATCACGAAGCATTGGTTCATCCTCGTACCTTCAATAATTGATACGTGTAATTCGTAGATATCATTTTTATAAAATTATGAAACTAATGTAATTACCTTTCAAGAGACTCCTCCCTCATCTTATAGTCGTCGTTCACCGCATTGCTCAGGCTTCTTCCACAAACTTCCGGTTCCTCCACAGACTTTTGGTCGTTGAAATATCCACGCTGATAACTCTCAGCTCTGGAAATGGGTTGAGGAGCACTGAAGTTCTGCCCGTAGCTGCCTCTGTTTTGGTACGAGTCTGTTCTTGTGAGAGGTGGTTTAAAGTTTTCTTGTTGCGTAGTCGAGGAGAAAGAGTCTTTTCTCGTCGACTGGGCGTACGAACTTCTTCTGCTGTACGATTCCTCGGGGAAGTGGTCGGAGGCGTAAGAATCACCTCTGGTCAATTTTGGTTTTTGGGAATGCACGCTGTGCTGGGAAGAGTGTTGACTCTGATACGATAACTGCGAGTCTTTCCTCTGTGGTTCTTTCGGTATGATCTCCGGATATTCTTCGTCCTCGATCACTTCCTCCTGATACGATTCAGTTCTCGTCAATCGTTTCCCGTTAGCCATGCTCGTGTGAACCATTGCCGTCACCGTCATACTTGTTGGAATATGGTTGGCTGTCACGTGATTAACCATCGTTGTAGCGGGCTGCAGATTACTTTGGGGAGATTCGATCGAAGTGGGGGCAACGGAACTGGAGTCAGCAGGTGTCGGATAATCGCTGATTCCTTTCTTCTGTGGAATGCTACTAATAGAACTCACGGCAGTTTCGATTTCCTTCAGTTCGTCGTCTTTCGATTCCAAGGAATCGGTATTTTGCTGGACGAGAGGGCTAGGTTCCCGTTTCTCGTGCTTCTTCTTTCTCGACACGCCGGTCGAGGACACGTCTTGACTCTCCTGAGACATGAGGTAATAGTCCGATTCGCTCGACTGATATCCATTCGTTCTCGTCTGGCCTCGTGGCGTGGTCACCGACAATTCCGGAACTTCGCTTGCTCTTCTCTCCGTACTGGCAGCTGGACTCTCTTTGTAGTGTTCCTCGAACGACTCCTGATAAGATTCGTGATAAGAGTCTTCGTAAGGCTCTTGATACTGGTCTTGATAATCATTCTCGTACGTCATGTTCACAGTTTCCTCCTTGCTATACGGCGTTTGATAATTAACGTAATCCTTCTGGGGTTTGCTGTAAGTATCCTCGTAATTACTTTGCGAAATGGGCACCTGGTTGTACGTATCTTGCTGGTTGTACGTTTCTTCTTGCTGATGGTACGTTTCTTGATTATACGTATCCTGAATATACGTGTCCTGATTGTAAGTTTCTTGACTATAGGCTTTCGCGTTGTACGTTTCTTGATTATACGGGGTATCCGGATATGTCTTCTGGTAATCAGTCGACGTGTTTATATTGTACTGAGAATCGTATTGCTCTTGTTGGTATTGATTGTACGTATTCGTCACGTTATTTTGGTCGTATACGCTCGACGGCACGTTGTAACCATCGTATTGCTCTTGATACGTATTCTTATAGGCAGATACATTCTTCCTGTCCTGATATTGAACGTTGTTCTGATCGTAACCCATCACCTGGTAATTGTCGTCTATTATCATATCTCTGCCGCTCATTTTCCTGTATTGATCGTTCGGTTGGCTAGTGTATTGATCATTCGGTTGGCTCGAGTTCGGATATGTTATGTCTTGATACGTATCCTGATAAACCTGAGTGTTCTGTTCCACGTAAGGCTTTTGAAACTCGTCCTTATACGAGTTTTGTAAATACGATCGATCGTACGTATCCTGTGTCCGTGGCTCTTGATACGAACGACCATACTGGTCATCGACCTGGGGCGTGTAACTGGACCCGTATTGACTATCCTCAGCGTATTGAGTTTTGCCAGGCGCGTGCACTTGGTCGTAACCACTTTGCTCGCTATATATACTGTCAATGTAGGTATCCTGAGGTAAATTATCTTGGCTGCGATAAGCGTAATTATAGTCCTCGTTGTAGTCAGACTTGTGATAGCTCTCCTCGGAAGGAGTTCTAGTCTTTGGCAGTTGCCTGCTCGATGTGGCAAGCATACGATTGATAATAACATTGCTTGGTTTTGTTGGTGTCGGAGGTAGTTTTTTACCCGTCCCTTCTTGCCGAGACGGTGGTCGTTGTTGCGGTTGTAGCGGTTTTCGACGACGAGTGCTATGACCACTATAATCCATCCACAAGTTAAATAATTATTTTTTTGCAATCTTATCGATAAGTAATTTGGGAAAGAAGACGATATAACAAGATTAATACCTATAATTGAGTTCCTCCGATTCGTAACTGCGTTGTCTGGTAACCGTTGGTCTATAATCCGGTCGATGAATACCGATACTAGATGCAGGCCTCTGTGGAAGCGTTTTTCTATTCCGTTTATTCTCATAATAGGTACTAGTTCCTAGATACCACTTCCCTCCACTGTCCCACTGTCTATCCTCGTCGTCTTGCCCATACCTGTTCAATGTTTAAACAAACAAATTAATATATATATATTGTATTTTATTTACAACTTTAAATAGAAATTTGAAAAAACCGATTTATCATTTCTTTTTCTCACATATCTAAATACTACTTTTTATCACGTACAATAAAGATTGAAACGAATAGCCTAACAACGTACATAATACTCACCTTTCATCTTGATAACCATATCCCGTGATGCTATCGTAGTACTCATTGTACCTAATGTCCGTTTGGCATTCAGGATACGTGGCGCTCATTTTCCCCACTCTTCCGTCGCTACTATATCCATCGGTATAGTAAGAATGGTCGTCGTATAAAGTCATCTGTCTTTCCAAAGATGGTCTTCTGTGATGCCCTGTGTGTTCACGTGCGGAAATAAACCGAGTTACGATCCCTTTTACTATTATTCCAGAAACTTATATACGCTGTATATATATATATATATATGCATCAAATGTACGTATTAAATCTTCATGAACCGGAAACAGTAACATATCCATTGTTGGCCAAAAAGTAACAAAGTACAGTGGCGACATCTTACCTCTCCGCCTGGAAGCACTCGTTGTACTACTCGGATAATATTCGGTATCGCTATAGATTTTGGTTTCGTCGACTCTCGTCCCATGATAGTCGTAACCTTCGCTATACCAACCGTCTTGACTGAAATCACGAGACAAAGATAAAATAAAATTACATTAACAATCGGACAAAGAGGGATAAAAGCGGAGATGAAATGAGCCGCGTTTAATGACCACGTTCGCTGGAAGCATGATATATATATATATATTTGGTTAAAGGATATTTCCAAGGATAATTCCCTCGTATAGTCTCTCCTCATGCAACTACCTGTGGATGCTCGATGCATTCTCTTTAAAATCTCGTTAAAAATATCAAACTACGGTATACATAATCTTAATCTACATTAAATCCTCATCGATTCCTTCGAATCCTGTAAAATTCCTATAAAAAATTCTCTACTTTCTTACTTTTTACACGCGTGAACATATCCTTTAGACTCATCTCGAAACGAGCTTAAGCAATTTTTAATTTGATACATGGTGAGTGTTGGAATGAAATGAAATTGTACAAATGATTTGATAAAACATTGCGGCAAAATAAATGATAAATTGTAAATATGATCTATCTTGAATTTTGTGTGTGTGTGTGTGTCTAATGTGTGTGTGTCCAGATGGTGCAATGGTTTTTATGGAAGCTATTTTTCAACGGTGCTCCAAAAAACAGTGTGACACGTTTAATGAAAAATATGCTAGATGGAACAACGTGTGATCTACAATTGAAAAATGCGATGAATATCGTATTTAACTTTTCTCACGAAACAGAGCTGGGATACTTGTTTCGTACCTGTCCTCGTAATCCCACGTATGCTTCCGTCGTCTAAATCAGGCAGAACAAAAAACAATAAACGTTTTTTTTTTCTCCTTCTTCTCTTCAAGTATCACGCGATCAGGGCTGTGTAGTAAATTGCCTCGAGTTGTAATTTTATCGGGTTCATTCAGAAGAAAGAATAATTCGAGCAAAAGAATAATTGAGGAGCTGATTGAAAAATCGGCTAACAAAAAATGAATCGAGTAAGTATACTTATATAAATTATTCATTTAAGACATTCAATTTTTTCTGCATCTCCTTTTTCAACAACAAGATTTCAAGATCGCCTTCAACTTCTTTGTACGCGATCTTATGAATCTTTCCCCCCCCCCAAAAAAAGGTACGTCATCACACTTATCATTTCTTCAAAGAGCTCTTCAATAATTTAAAAAAAAAAAAAAAAATAAATCGATAAAAATTAAAATATGCCCTGTTTTAATCATAATCACAATAAAAACTCGAATAAACTCGAACCAACACGGGGAGGAAAAAGAGAGAACAGAAATAGGGGAGAGAAAAAAAAAGAACTACCACGATTAGTTACACGACCAGTTTACTGGCTCGAAAAGGAAACCTTATTTCCAACACTGACACTCTACATCGATCCCGCGCGTGTCTCAACGAGAGCCTCGTCCAAATGTCAAATACCTGTACTCCTTATAGTGCCTGGGCCGGCTGTTGTAGAAGAGCGGCTCGGAAGATTCGGAAGCGTGCTGAGACTGAGAATACCTTTGCGGTGGACACTCCTCGGGATACGGTTCGTCGTATCGCGGACTGTGGCCCGATCCGCTGTATCCCGCGTAATTAATTATAGACAGCCTTCCCCCGACCGTAGCCGGAATCTGGAAACAATCGATAAAACGCTCGAGCCACCGTTTTTTCCCTTCGGGAGAAACTGCATAACCGATTTAACCTTTTCGAGGTGAGGTTAAACGACTTTCTATTAAGAAATTTATCTCGCGAGCTATATTTAACCGATCTGAGAAATAGATTTCCGATTTCTCTCCTCCCTGAAAACCAGTAATCCTAATGATAAATTCATGACGAATAAACTTTCATCTTAGGGGAACTATACCTTTCATTGTTCATTCACTAGAGGGAGGGAGAGAGAATCGTTATCTTTTTCCATTTTGGAATTAATTTGTTCAATAATATTAGAAATGAAGGAATATTTAAAGTAACGGTTTATTTATAGATAAACGTAATACGCGAGGCAAATATCTTTCGCGCGTTTTAAATTTAAAAAGTAACGATTCGGTATTCGCCGGTTCAAATATTCACGCGCAAGAAATATTTGATAAACTTAAACCAATATCGGATAATATTAAATACGATTAATCGTTTAATATACGATTCAATAATAAACGATTTAATCGACACTCCTCCGCCACTTTCGGAATCGAACGATATCGGTTATCAATATTCAATATTTGTGAAGAAAGTATCGATAAAATTTCAGTGTTAAAAGTGTTCGATTCCCAGGGGGGCCGACTAGGTGGGTCGCAAAAAGTGATTGTCCAAAAGTGGACAATTAACGGATCGAGATAACAACAAAATATATCGATCGTACCTGATGATCATCCCTCTCGTAGCTATTTTCTCTCGAGGTCTCGAGGGATCTCTGAGGGGTGGCCAATTGGTTGGCAGCGGTACGAAACTGCGAAGCCGAGCTGTTTGCACCTTGTCCGCCAACTGGATAATTCAGGTCTGACGTATAGTCGGAATCCTCCGAGTAACCGGCTGAAAGGCAATTCAAATTTAACGTTACCAAACCGGCGCATAAAGATCGCTGTTTCTTTCTTTTCTTTTCTTTTGTGGAACAATCGCTCGTGTAAAGTTAGAAAAAAAAAAAAAAAATACTCAATGCATAATAAAACACAAGTTCGCTAATTGTCGTGCGATTCAACAACCACCTTTTGTCACAAGAAATAATCTAAAAAGTCGTAAGCACGTTCGAAAGCGGTTTGAAAAGTTTAAATTGCTTTTTGGTAATGAAATAAGAAGAGGAGAGAAGGAAAACAAACAGAAAAGAAAAAAAAGAAAAAAAATCAAAATATACAGCTGCGTGTGTACGCGTGTAACAATGCAGAGATAAATTTGCCTTGGAATAAAATATATCGTGAGATCCTTCCCCCTATAATCGCGAGATCATCTCGAATAAGAGAGAGATTATCCGGGGGACGAACCACCCGATGAGTTTTTCCTTCTATTTTTCTGTTCCCAGGGCAAGAGAGAAGATATTATATATATGTATATATAAAATGGCGATATAATACGAAATAATACGTGGTTGGAAATCGGGGAGGGGGAGAGGGATAATATACGCGAGTAATATGCTGGCGTGTCGAAAAAAGAAGAAAGAAAGAAGAAAAAAAAGAAAAGGCGCGATATCGCGTTTATTCTCGCTCGCTCGTTTCGAAAGTACTTGAGATTTCACGTGAATTGGTCGATATTGGACGAATCCGATAATTGAAACGGTGCAACAGCGGAGGGAAACAGAAACAATTAATGCCCATGCGATTTTAAACATCGTTTGGATATCGAGATAATTGACGTGTCATTCAGGAAGAATAAGAAGAGTATTGTGAAGTATTTTTCGCCCAGGCAGGTCACAACACACGAGGAGAGAAACGGAAAAAAAAAAAAAGAAAAAAACGAGAGAGAGAGAGAGAGAGACAAAGAAAGAAGTGGGCAAGTATCGATCGAATTTCGGTGCGTTAATAAAAATTAAAAAAAAAAAAAAAAAAGAAGGGAGTGGGGAAAAATAAATAAATGAATAATAATAATAATAATAATAATAATAATAAAATGCATCGTTGAAAATTTTATCATGCCATGGGTATAGAGATCACACACACACATACACATATACATATATATGTATAGCGGTATTATAAGTGGTTTATTCTTTTTTCAACGGGGATCGAATTTTTTTTAGAGATAAGTTACCGACGATTCTCGATGGTCGATAACCAACAATAGGAATGGATTTTCGTATATACCGTGCTTGCCGATAGAAAATATCCACGTGCAAACTCCGTGGATAACACAATTGCAATTGCATAATAAAAATACCCTGATGAAAATATGTATGTATAGTCGGTGATCACGGATGGAAAAAAAAAAGAAAAAAAAAAAAAAAAAGAAAATGAATCTAGCATGGAATCGATTTTCGAGACGAGAAGCCGACAGCGTAGCGTACCAAGCTTTTATCGCGGTAGTCGAGAATAGCATACGAGCGAATTTAGCCTGGAAATTCGAAAATAAAAAACATATCTGCATTAAGGAATTGTGATGAATGATATCCGGTTAAGCGACAAGATATATTTGTAAAAATGTGAAATTAACACAAAACGTATATATTCGTAAGTACGCGTGCGAAATGTGTATTTGATATTTGAACAATGAATGTATATATATATATATACGTAGTGTGAATTTGATTGTATTCACATTGTTCTTATTTGACAAAGCCGAAAAAAAAAAAAACAAATACGCGTTTATTAACTCGAATGAAAACTGACACAACGCGTTGGATTTTAACGAACGGTAAATAACAAACTGGAGATATCCCGAAAATTTGTTTAAATTTATAACACAAACTCGTGTTCCATTAAACAAATTCACGATTCTACAACATTATTTCATCCCCATTTGTCCTTCATTTTCCCAATTTAATATGCCTTTCCTGTTATAATACATATCGTTTTATCGACGATAATAACAAAAATAATAAATAAATTGAATTTTTATTCAATGGTTTACGATCAAATTAC